TATCGATAATACTAACAGTATTGTTTAATGAAGATGAATGAATTTTTTAAAAACTTTTACTAGTCGTATAATTTAATTCAAATGGATGGATGACCTCATTGTTTTGTGTATGTTTCGTTTTTTCCTTTCTAATACTCTTGAGGATTTTAAGACTTTTTAGCTTAAATTATAGTAGGATACCTTTAAAGGCAATCATTATTATAGTGAAAGTGACCACGCTTTAATGATTTATGTGTTATCGATGTTATATTTTGTTGATCAGCCTAAAATAATCCAGTATGATTACTTATTTATAGTTCTTGACTCTAGAACATATTGTATGAATGATTCATGATGAAAATGATGAAATGTAGTAAATTTATTTATCAATACAATAGATTAAGATGGTGTCTTTGCTAATTGACTATTGAAACGTGGAAGAATTGGACAACTGCTTTATGATGATTCAGAATTACTGAACTGGGATAAAACAATTTTCACAAACTTTATAGTTTTCTTCTGATTTCAAATTGTGATTAAGGGTGTCACCAAATAATCTAAATTCTTCCTAAAACTACTTTGATTAATTATCTATTTTTTTTGTTAAGTTCAGTTGAGTTAAAGTTGGGAGATAAGCTTTATTGTTATAGATTTTATGATAAAATTTGCTAAATTCCCTTTGGAGTTTTTCATATGCAAACTTGTTGAGGATCGAATCAAAAACAAATTTATATTAGTTACTCACTAAAGCCAACTGAATTCCATGAATCAAATCTGCAATTCGATCACTAAATTTATTGATTAATGCTGCTGTACACTGTTCTTAATATAAGAATTCCTTGAACGTAATTAATAGGAACCATCAGAATTATTAATTACTGCTGAGGCTTGTCTTTAATCCAATAGAAACCAATGATCTTAGTTAATATTTAAAATTACATCAGTAATCTCAATAGTTCAGCAACTTATTACTTCTGCACGCAAATTCCCAATAACATCTAGTGATTTAGTCAAATACATTAAATAGTCGTTTGTGAGTGATTTATGTTGTATTTTCAGGTTCATAACTAATCAAAAGAGTTCAGTAATATTATATCTATTTATGACACTTAATGAGATAGATATTAATCAGCATTTGTCTCCCCAAGGTTGCAGGGAACACTTATTGATGAACTCCCACGAATAAATCCTAAACTATTTATCAAATAATATCACTTTGTGCACTGTTAAATGTGACGATTTGTTTTCGATCGTGATTAGCAACAAGAATGCATAAAACTGATCATTTTCAAATTACAATGAAAAATGTATCTATTGCTTCATGACTTCCAATCATTCTCCAAAAAAAATGTTATATATTCTAAAAAGTTTTTATAGTCAATTTGATTCATTTTATCCACTTACAAGTAATAAAGTATCATAATTCGAGAAAAAGAAAGCCTGGATAAATTACAACACATTTATCCTCTGTACATAATCTCGATTATCTGTCAGCAAATGACGTTTGTCTTGAAATGAAATAATATTATTTTTTTTTAAATAATATTATAGTTACTAGGGGGATACTGTGTGATCATCAAAGAATTTCACCATTTATACAGAACAACTTATTGATAACCTACTGTGCTAACATGTAATAACTAAAACTTATTGTCAACTTCTTTTAAGAATGATATTGTTCTTTGAAAAATAGAATGAATGAATTGCTTAATTAATATTTTGAATAAAGATTAATATTATCCATAAATTTTATTATTTAAACTTTATATATTAACAAAAGATATCAGAAAATGTATTACATATCGTCGTCAATGATGTTATGTATCTTTTTATTTTATGATAAAAAATGAAACTTAAATTAACATAGAACTGTCAAAATGAGTTAATTTCTTAATTCATGATGTTCAATGTCCAATATTGTATAAATTTGTTTTTATCTTTTTAGTTTGACTAATTAAATGAGCGCATAATATTTTCATTTTTAAATTAACATGAATAATTGGAGGAAATTTAAGAAAAGTTAAACAATGACAGAAAATTCATCATCTTATTGTTGTCGTTTTTTCCCTTATGACAGAAAAGTCACTGAACATAAAACAGATTGTTTTCTACTTATTTCATTATCATGTTTTATGTTTACTGTTTTCCAGAAGAAAAGTGGAAATATATTAGTAACAACCGACAGAACATAATGGTAACATGAATTTATAAATTACTATATATCTTTTTAATATGTAATATTTTATGAGTGATGAATTCGCTTTGAAATGAAGGTCTAGAATATCGCTAGTGATTTTGTTTTAAATGTTGTTTCTCGCGAGATAGGATCGTGGATGTGCATCGCTGAGAAGTTCTACAATAAGTTGAAACGGCCGTACAGTGCTTCCAGGTTTTGCATGATGGTCTCGCTTCAAATGACTCATGATCTCAACCATTGAAACTATTCCGAAATCCACAAAAACGCCTTCTGATATTAATCAACATATGCTCACTAGTGACGGGCTTCAAGAGGTGTTTCCTGGAGCTCTAGCGAGAAGCAGTGTCCAGTGGAGTTCAACCGGATCTGCTATGAGATAGTAACTCACTGAAGAGAATGGTGGATATGTCGCTCAGTTTCGTGGGTTGGTTGAAGTTAGACGTTAACACCACTGGATGCTGGCTCAGTGGTCTAGTGGTTGTGTTTGCACGCAAGATCGACAGGTTCTGTGTTCGAACCTCGCGAGGCGGGATCGTGGGGACGCATTGCTGAGGAGTTCAACAGTAAGACGAAACAATCGTCCATTGCTTTCAGGTTTTCCATGGTAGTCTCGCTTTAATTGACTCATGATCTCAACTGTTAAAATTACTATAATATCCACAAAATCCCTTCTGATATTAAATATTATAAACTGAAAAAGTTCGTCTATTCTATTAGCTAAAGTATTAATTTTGAATCTTTGATTTAAAATATATGATAACAGACAGAAATGAGTTATTTTATATGACTGAATACCAGTAATATTTTAGAAAAGTATTTACTAAGATAAATATAATGTGAATGAATAACAGCTATGTCTTCCTTAAAAAAATAATATTTTGACTGTTCCTTAGTTGATGGTTTTAACATTTATTTCAATTTAAATATTTCAATTAAATTAGAGAATTCTTAGTGAGATTAGAAGTTAAATGACAGTAGGTGAATTCACGATCTGTACGGATGTGTTGATCTGGTGTCAGAGTTTTTCTCAAACAACAGAAGTGATCATCTGGAATTTACTTTACCTTAAGCAATTTGGGTATTCTCTAGTCATTAGTAAGAAAAACTACATAAATGGATACAATCAATATGCTGAATTGACGAAAAGAATATTTATAGCTCAAGTGGATTCATTTGCTGGTTCCATGTTCTTTAAGTTGAGTAATTACCACTACTTCAAATGATGTCCAAAATAAAAATGAGTGCTCTGTTATCAAAATATTTAGCCCCAAAAAATGTAAAACTGCCAAATAGTCACTTGTATTGATTTTTACTAATTCTTTCTTTTCTTTATTTGATTAGATTTTAGTCTTGTATTAAACTATTCTGCTCGAGTTTTTATGCTTATTTTTTTGGCTGAATAGATCCTTGAGATAATATTTGAAAACGAACTTCAATCCAAATTAATCTCTACCAACCTGCTAATCGAACACTAATCGTGTGCTCACGTGTGACTGACTTCAAGATAATTTCTCACGGTTTTAACAGAATGTGATGAATGGAAACGTTCAGTTAAAGGAAGAATGAGGCAAGTAGTCGTAAATGTCATTAAATAACATTTTACTTTATCATGAATTTAGTGAACTCAAAATTTCAAAACAATGGATACTCGTTTAATGGTTTGTAGGTCACTTAGGGACTTGAGTGTCTTAGGTTAGTTACTTAGTGGATTCGTATATGCATACTTATGAGGAGTTTCATAAGAGAAAACACAAATGTTCAGCATTCTTCAGTTCTTAACAGTTTCCTAATTTATATTAATCTGTAGGAAAACCACCTTTGATCAGAAAACATTTTCATAAATGTTTGAATCTAACAGCAAAATACTTACATTATTATCTCATTTTATATTTATTGAGATATGAACTCATGATTAATAAAAGTATATACTGTCTATATAATCTGATGTGTATTCATGTATTGTGCTTATCAGTAATCTTTTATTGACTTCTTCCATCTTCATATATAAATAACTTACATCAACCTAATTGTTAATTTTAATTAGTTTAAGAACAACCATAAATACAAAACAAATTGATTATCACAACCAAAACAGTAGGAAGACATCAATGAAGTTGATAAGTAAGGTTCATCAAAAAATTACTAGTTATTGATAGTCTGAATATTTCTAATTAATGAAATGTAACCTCATTGCATTGAGTGGTTAGAGGTAGTTAGCAGAAGACCTTGTTCGACCTAGGTTTCTTGATACTTACCATTCGTGAACATAGAGTACTTGTGACTTTGAAGTGACTCAAGCCCTATGTGGGATCCGAACCCGCATTACTTAGCTCCAGAGTTCGAGGCGTTACTAATTAGCAATTTGAGCTGCTACTGACTTTTTGTTAAACTGAGATATTGGTCGACAGAATTTAATCAGTACTAAAGGACTGGGTAAACATTTTATTAGTCACTACCCAGTGATTAATCGATTTTAATGTTCATGTTTTCTACGTCAATTAAGATTCTATAAATTGTATTTCTAGTTCTGAAACATAAAAGTGAAAGACTACTAATATTTAACTCTATGTTAAGTGTGTACTGTTATAACTCGGTTTTTAAAACGTTATTATGGTACTGATATGATGACTGAAGTGTAAATAAGAACCGAAGTGTGAAAAAACTTCTTATGAAGATTCTTTGATTTGATAGCTGCCTTATCAAAGTTATGTTTAAATAATATGAGGATGATAAGAAAATGATTAATTCATGATATTTTGTCCCGTTTTCATTAGCTATAAGAATCATTAAAAAACAAATATATAAGGTAATAATTTCAACTTACTTCTTTCGTGAACATACTTATATCTTCTTGAAATGAATCAGATGAACAAACATCAACTGAACTATTTGAATTCTCATCTCTTGGTATACATGTGGCTAATTCACATTTTTCAAATATTAAAGCAAGTAAGGGGAATAATGGATGACTGTAAAACAAATAAAATGAATGGATTATTAATTTAGAATTCAATTGAAATACATTATAAAATTTGGTATTAGAAAGAAAGACAACTGTACTAATTTGATGAGATAACAATAATCTAGCTGTACAATCGTATATATGTATATGAAACTTTTTGTTAAAGTACTAGTTCCTTAAGGAAATGTGCGATTATATAGCTTGATAATAAATTCATTGTAAAGAGATCTCTTAGCTGAACTTTGTGTTTTCAATGTTGAAATGGGAATTATCTGTCAATAACAATAATCCTCAAATTTTATCGTAAACACATTTCTATTGCTTTTCTTAAATAATCCATTGGATTCATAACATAGTTTTCAAGTTGTGTGTTATGTTCATTCATTCGTTTAAATTTGTCTTTTAGTCTGTAAATCAAGAGTTTATACTTGAAAATTCAGAAAATTTACCTACATGAATCTATTCATTAGTGTATGGTATGATTCTTTTATGTTAACGTTTAAAATAACTATTTCCTTATGATTTATAACATAAGAATCCATGAGAGAATACAATAATTACTGTTACATGAAATTTTGACAGAAATGAATATAAATATTATTAGAGATTTATGAAGATTGTTTGAAATGAAGTTTGTACAGTATTGCATATGAACTGAGGTTGATAATACGAAATTTTGGATCATCACTTAGTAGTCTGAAAATATAATGCTTTCAGTGAAATAATAAAAGCCTTAAGTTCACATTTAACCAAGCTTGGTTACACAAAAATGTAGAATCTTAAAGTAGGACAAACCACTTATTTAATACTTTCTGTGTAGTTTTTGTTTTGTTTTATTTTAACAGCTTGTCAACTAAGTTTTAGATAAGAAATCAACTTAAATGTTTATAAATAGCTCCTCACCCCTAAGAAAAAAACTACGAACATGTCTAACGTCTATTTACAATCATATTGTTACAATAGTAAACTGATTTACCGTTAATATTAAATTTTAGGTTTGTTTTCAAATGTGTATTTTTCATCAGTTGAACTTCACTATTGATTAACTAAATTAAATAACTGGTAAAATTAACTAAAGTGATCGTGATAGCTATTATTTTGGGAGTAAGTATCAGACAAGTGAATTATATGAAACGCAATGTACATCCCGTAACCATTAAGTACAAATGATTAACCTTAATTCCTTTTACAATTTTCGTTTAATTATCACATTATGATTGGGGAATTGCTTTTAGGCAATATGTATGGATATATATATATATATAGGTAACAGTCAAACTAACCTTTTAATCTTTTCAATATTCTGTTTCATATCTAATCCATTTTCATCTATATCATTATTATAAGGACAATTACTGCCACCATCACTGATATTAACATTAGTAGAATTGACACGAGAATTAAGAAATCGTGAATAATGTTCCAGGGAATTCGATACTTGAGGCATACCATTTATCATCACTGTTGTTGGTGGTGTCACTGTTCCAGGTGCTGCAGTTGTAATTGATGTAACTGATGAACCTATTAACGAATTTCTTAGTGAAAAATATTCTTGATGTTCATAAGGATTTTGTCTTTGTGTTTGTTGTTGTTGTAAAGGTTGCAAAATGTTATTATTAATTTTGTTCATATTAGAAATTCCCTGTGTAGAATTTGAATTTAATGACATAGCCAATTTATGAACATCAATTGATGAGTTGGATGATTCATTTGGTGATAATAATAAATTTGGTAATAACTGACCAGCTGTTGGTGGACTAAACAATCCTAACAGTGTTTCGCCACCATAAATTTCACTGTTCATAATTTTCTAGTTGAAACTAATGAAAATGTTTTCGTTATAATTTCAGAAATTGTATTGTCTTAATGAATTAATTTTATTGGAAAAGAAAGGAAAGGTAGATAAGAGTTTTGTTTCACAGAATGTTAAGGTAAAAAAAGCAAATTACAGATTTATCTCTTTGATACATCATATAGGATATATTCATAAATACAACCGAAATAACTAGGATTCTAGACCTAGAACCAGTCACACTATTGATCAACTGTTTAGATTTTGGAAAATGGCAATGTCATGAATGATGTTTTCTGCTTATAGCACTCAAAAATATTTGTAAAAAATAACTTAAAACTACTTTTACAGAGAACTTAACAAATTATGTCGTCTTTATACAAGAAGAGTGGTGTATGATATTAAAATGAAGCAGATAATTTAATCAAAATTTTCAAATTACACATAATTTTTATCAGCTTCTAACATTCAAGTTGGGAGTAGACAAATTCAGAACTTCTTAAGTCATCATATATAGATCAAACAGTCTCTAAATACTCTGGTTGAACTTTACACTTACTTACTTACTTACACCTGTTACCCCTCATAAAGGATCATAAGTCATCCACCAGCATTCCTGGACAATCTTTTCAAGTTTCTTTCAGTTCCTATTCAACTTTTGGATGTTTGCTCCCAATTCTCGACTCACTGTGTTCTTCGGCCTTCCACTTTTCCGTTTTCCTTCAGGATTCCAAGTTAGCGCTTGCTTCGTGATTCAGTTTGATGATTTCTGTAATGGATGTCTTAACCACTTTCATCGTCTTTTCCTGATTCCTTCTCCAGATGGAAGCTGATTTGCATATATAACTTAGACTAGTATCTGTGCTGTGGTGAGATTGACAGAGGATGACCAACACTAAGGAACAGTACTTAAAACAATTTAATCTAAATATCTGAGTTTTTCACAATGTCTTTGGTAAAATCCTTAATTTTAACGTTTGATAGCACGGAACTCGACTGAAACTATCAGTCTCTTCAGGATTCCAGCAACGTCTTACTTGGGGAGTCCCAATTGACATGATATCTATCAAATGATTACTGCCTAACAGAAAACTTCCAATTTGAGGTTCGAAATCATCAACTTAAGTTCGTTGGTGAGAAATAATACTAGATCAAATTAATGCTTCCAGTGCAATGCTGTTCTTAAAAGATTTTTGACTATTTTAAAGCGCCTCATTATCATATTTTTCACTTTGAAATAAAAGGTACATAAGTTCAAAACTTTACTACAAAATATTTTAGGTTAGACTGTTTACTGATTAACTCTTAATATTCCTACATCCTATGTATAAGATAGTATAAACATTCTGTTACTGTTTTTCGTTGATTAAAATTCTTCAGTGCTTTAAAAAATTAATAGATTCGCGCATATTTACGAATCAAAGTTGCATGTGAATTGCCTAAATGGGAACAAATAAATAAAGTTTTTGATACATCAAATCGAGTATTGATCATTTAAGCCATAGAAAGAAGGAAAATAAATTATAAGACGCTTTCTTGAATTGAACATCAATTCTTTCAAAGAAAATAAATGTATATCCAAACACACATACATACACTTAGACAAAAGATGATTAGGCAAGTGTAATTTGCATACATATGGATTTACATAAATAGAAGTTGTTAGTCATGTAACCAATCCTTATCTGATTAGGAGAATCAAGCATTATCACACATACATTCATCATTATTTCTACTTTGTGACATCAATCTTGATAGTCATAATTCTAATCAAGAGGAAGTGAGGTCAAAAGATCATTAGAAGCCTGTAAGTTATGTGTTTTGTAATATATATCTGTATGTGCACAAATAACATAAGTTGCATGAAATACGAATTTAAGAAAAGCCAAGTAACCATGTTATTTATTTATAAATGTCATGATGTGTGCTTAGAGAAGTGTGTGTGTATATGTGCGGATTATATATATTCTAGCAAAATATTTGATTAAAAAATCAAATTCATTTTTTAAGCTGAGATAGCAGCAAAATATATTCATCGAAACTTGACATTATTAAGCCTCAAGTGACAAAGATTTCATTTATTGTGTTCGAAATTAAATGAATATGTATACATTCATAAGTAGATAAGAACTAAGTTGATAACACAATCAATAAACTGACATAAAGATGTTTATAAATGCTCACTCTGACAAACTAACATTTGAAGTCTACAGTATTTAATTGCATTACACTGCGAGGCCCTGAAATCTAGGGTTTGAAGTTGTTCCTTCATATTACTAGGGAGTTCCGATCAAGTGTTGAACAGCTGTCTGATGTTCTAAAGTTTTTCAATGGTACTGATAAGAGGTAAAAATAATGATGTCATCTAGCTTACCTAAATAACTTGTTGAATAATTACTACCAAAAAAAGATATTTAAAGTATATTTTTCTGCTTTAGTTAAACCATATTTATTTTGAAAGATGCATTAATGAATGAGTCATTCTCATATTTTTCCACATATAAGTGGCCTTTCATTTACTAATCATGGTTTCTATTTGGTATTACTTATTTAGAAACATTGGATTTATTCCTTTTAGAAAAACATCAGAAGGAAATAACACAATGAAATACTAAATGGTACACTTATAGAATCAATCATTTTTAAGATAAGTCAGTAAACACTGTAATTTTGAATAACTTAGTCAAATAGCACCATTATAACTTAATTGATAGAATTCTACTAACAATTAAATTTAGTAAATGATCAGTTAATGTTTAAATAATTCAGTTCTACAGGGGACAACCCAAATATCTCAACAACTATGTCTTTGACTGTGATAGTGGGCGAAACAAGGATCATATGTTTTCCCTCCAAGTTTAAAGTTATTTATTGATGATTAGTGTAAACTAACGCAAAACATTAGTTTGAGGCTTCTTGACATTTACCAATATAACATTACTGACTAACAATCATAGTAGTACATCCAGTGTATAAGTGAAAGAATTTTATTTAAAAACATTTTTACTGTGAAGCTATTATTAGTTACTAGTTGGTGAAAGATCTACAAATATAAAATTTATTCTACTCAAGATTTATTAAACAAGAATGTATTAGAAATTGTCATTCTTTATAAGAATGGATTTTGGTTTGTCTTATTTTGTAAACTTGAAGTCTTGAAAAATAGATTACTAATACATGATATGATATTAACTATTTGATCTTAGTTAAGAAATTTCAATATATGAATTAGATATTCTTTTATGGATAGCTAACATCCAGTATATCGGGCACTATGGATATACTGTTAAACTGTCTATCTGTATGAATATATATATTGCTTAAAAGCTAGGTAAACAAATACAAATGAAACTTTATCTAGTCTCATTACGTGTTATTTGGATAATAGCCTACTTTAAAAATACAAATACAAAGCGGAAACTTAGTGGAAACAATAAACATTTATTGCATGTTAGTTTCCTATGATTGATCTTAATTAGAAAACTATTAAAAACCAGGATATACAGGATAGTTAAATAAGTCAAACCATGTTTCGATATAGGTTATTTATGAAGATGCATTTTAATATTCCCGACGACACCGTTTTTTTAATTATTTTTTAACTTAATATTTTCAAAGAAAGGAAATGAACAAAGTATTTAAGTTACTCAGCATAGACATTGAATAGTTGGTGGATTAATGTATATATCATTTAGATAAATACAGTTTGACCAATTAAATCAATTTCTTATATCGAATACCTAGAATCATGCTTTTCCCAGTTGCGATTGAAGTAATGTTATGACTTTATTGATTAAAAATCATATTATGATGCAAAACTCTGATATACTACCACTACTACTACTACTAATACCAATACCACTACTACCACTCATAATAATAATATAAAGAATGATAGATTTTATTAACTGTTTAATCAAGAACTAATAATATCTGATGAAATAGTTGTTTAGTGTTTCCAATTCACAAAAGCATTCCAAATGTGATCAATGTGTGACATAAATCACTTACATATCAAACTAATTTCCACAAAAGTAGTTTGTCTAAACTAAAATCTTCAGCTCTCTAACGACTTACTTTGAAATAGATTCTTAAAGATTTAATTAGAGATCATGATCGATTAAATTTAAACAACTCGTGAGTAGAAAACCGTCATTAGTGGAAATGGATGAAGATACCTTTATAACTCGAATTGATCGAGGTCAGAAGTATAAATTATTAGGTTTAAACTTAGTGTTTGTAAATGTTAAGCACTCCCTGATAAACCTGAAGGCCCTGGGAAACCCAGTACAAGGATAGGGCAGCTGTCCTTTAATCCCCGAGATTGATCAGTGACGAATTTCGCTTCCATAATAAGATAACCTCTAAAAACCACTTCATCTATATCTATCTATATATTAAAAAAGATTTAATAATGAATAGTTATTTTGTTCCAATGTAAGATTAATCTGTAGTACACATCTACGAAATATTATCAGATAAATGCCAACTTGAAAAATTCTATTCATAAAATTCCGATTGTTTATCTCTCGATGAACTGAATTTCTAGGTAATTTTTCAACTGAATGGTATTTCTTATTCAAAAGTTTCAAAATATTTGTTTCTTCTAACTGTTTCAATGTCACTGTTCTGATAACATCCGTTTTCTGAAAAAAAAACAAGGGGTCCGGACGATTAAATTTCTAATATTTTACTGAGAAAGAGCACTTAGTACACAAAATCTAATTTACAGTGAACAATACGTTTACCATAGTACACAAGCTTATACCATCATAAACAGTAATAACAAATACATATACTTTATATTGGTTAAAGGAGTCGTCTAATATACATTTGAAATCTCAACTTGACAAGTGTCTTAACTGCGTAACAGGTATACATATTGTAATTTGACCCTTGTTAATCATTTTCATCACTAAATCAAAACGATTTTGAAAAAAGCTATTGAATCATGAAACCTTGGACAACCGTTTCTATCGTAAGTTATACTGAATCTCCAAAGAAACATTCCA